ACAAGAATATTTACTTTGTAAAAGAAAGACAAAAAATTTCCTTAAATTCGTAACTGAATACTTATTTATCATTCATATTGATTCGAATCAAGGTTCTCGATTACATCAAATGAAAAGAGATTTAAATTTTATTCAAATTCATTGTTCATCTCAATTATTTCAACATTTATTTGATCAATTAGAATTAATTCTTTTAATAAGAGGAAAACATTTCGAAAAATTCAAGAATTTTATTGATAAAATTAAAATAGATTTTCAAGAAAAACAAAATAATATTGATGAGAATATTCGAATTATGAATTACATTAAAAGAAATCGAAAATCCGATATTTTTCAATTGTTTAATAAACATATCACATCGAACGATATTGATACAGATATTCAAGAATTTACTAACAATTTCTATTTAACCAATGAATTGAAATCGAAAATCAAAAGTATACTTAAAGATCTTTACGAATATTTACTTAATATCAAAACACATCAATACAATTCTATAACTGAAAATAAAAAATCTTTTTCGAAAAATTCATTTTATTTTCCAACGAACGGAAAAAAACTATTCACATTAATTTTGATAATATTTTAATGAATAAGCACAAATGTGAAAATCTTATTGATCTATTACATGAAGATATGAACTTTTTAAATGAAATTCATGTGCTAAACAACGTAGATAATGTTGTTTTTGTTCAAAATCTCTATGAGAAATTACGTTTTCAAAATATAACAAATCTTAATCAACATGCATCGATTAGATAAAAAAGATGTTATTGAAATGAACGATAGTTTGAAATTTGATAATGAAGGAAAAATATTATCAAAAGAAAATGACGAATCTATCTATAAAAGTATTTATAAAGAAATTGAATTGATCAACGGATTTACACAGTACTCTATTGAATAAATCGAATATTTTAACAAATTAAAAGAACATGTCGGTGTAAAATTGGATTCATTGGACAAAAACTATTTTTTTCATATGACCTTCCCTACAGTCGAGGGAATGAATCCGTGGTCAAATATCGTGATTTTATTTCAAATGAAATCCAATCCATATTTAATTCCGATACAATTCAACTAACAAAGATCTTAGAAGAAAAAAGGGTGGCATTAGGAGTTGCGTTTGATTTGGTTCTATGTAATTTCGACAAAAAGAATTTCGCCAACTGAATTTCGACAATGTCCAAATTCTAGTAGAATTTTGAAACATGCCGAAATTCTATTAGAATTTGGACAACGTTGGCGAATTTCTACAATTGTCAAAATTCTTATGGAATTACGGCAGAATTTTTTTTGCGGGGGATTTTGTTGTCCATTTTCCATCAGAATTTGGACAGCGTGTGTGATTTATATTTTTGTTATTAGATGTTATTGTAAAATATGATATAAGAAAAGATAGGCAGGACGAACAGCTTATATACACTTGCTCCCAAGCGAACGATAAGAAATATATATATGTATATATGATTAGATCTAGGCAAAACAAAGAATATACATAATAGACGACGAAAAGAATAATGATTTAGTTCATGCGCTAACAAAGATAGACAAGACGAAGATAGACGCTAACAAAGACGATTCGATGTGATAACGAAAACAAATACAAAATCATCATCACATACTTCCAAAGAAAATGTCAAGGGTATCGAACAATGACCTCGTTTCGATTAAAATACAAAGTTTTAAAAACATAAAAAAAATGTCTACTTGAAAAGAAATACTGATATCACGACATTCACATCACTAGATGTCATATAAATTAAAACTTTAGTAATTATATGTATACCTCTATATGTATTTTTTTTGAATAGATATTGTCCAAATTCTGATGGAAAATGGACAATAAAATGTCCAGCAAAAAAAAAATTCTGTCGTAATTCCATAAGAATATCAACAATTGTAGAAATTCGACAATGTTGTCCAACCT